GGCCTTGCCATAGGAACAGACCTTCCAATTGGGGTCAGCAGGGATGACAATGACCCGGATTCAGCTTCGCCACTGTACTTGCCAGGTAAGGCAACTTGCGCAACAAAAGCATCCCAGTCCGGCAAGGCAGTGCCATCAGGACCAGGACGACGGTCACTGGACCATGCAGGCTCATAGTCCTCCTTGTGTCTGGCAAGATGCTCAGCAACACGGGCACGAAGGTCAAGGCGGTGGAACGCCTTGGGCTGCTCCTTCAGCCAGCGCAGACCATCGCCAACGGCATGGTACATGCAGTTGCCATCCTTGGCGGCCGCCTGCAGAGCACAACCTTTGGGCACCTCCCGAACTGTAACCTTCTGCCTCTTTGCCGTGGCGTCACTAGGGGCAGTCACAGGCTTCGGCTTGTCCTTGGTAGCAGAGGCATCCGCAGAAGGCGAGGCGTCACCTTGCATGGTCGCATCCTCCATAGCGATTTCCTGACAAGGCTGCACCGGCAAGCTTTGGACAACCGGCGTGAAGATATCAGGGGTCGGCGTGACGAAAGGCAAGGAACCTGTCTTGATGCGCTTCTGTTTTACTTGCTCGGCCTTGGCCGGCGCCAAGTTGCCCACAGCATAAGCTGGGATCCATCCCCATCCTGAGTGGCAATGGGTAACAAATCGCATTCAGCCCCAGCCCTAGCAGCACCTCTAAACAAGAAGGCTTTGTCGGCCCCACGGGTGCGCTGGCGAATCATGCGGACATCCTGAAAATGGTCCTCAACAACAGCCGAGGCTTGCACAAAGTCCCATGCTTTAGGGCATCCGTTGAGCTGCCACACACGAATCGGCCTCTTCCACCCAAGCTTACAGCAAGGCCCAAAGTTCGCACACGGCTCGCCCTGGCAAAGTAATCCTTGTCGGACTCCTTGGGGCGGCGATCAACCCATTCTACGACAACCTTCTCACGTTGTCCGGCCGGTGGCAACACAAAGACTCCAGCATCACCAGACTTGGCCAGGAGAGTGAGCAAGTCACTCAGGGGTGCCCTGACTATCCCGAAGACCTGTTTGGCCCCGTTAGCCGCTTGTTCTTCCGCCCAATTCCATGAGTCGGTCAGCTGCACATGATGGCCGGTGGCCCAGGTTGCAATGGCAAGCTTGGGGCTCTTGCTGAAAGCCTGCCAGTGGTCAGCAGAAGCAAAGGCCTGAGGCACCTTCACAAAGAGAACACCTGTCACCTTGCTCTCGACCTGCTTTGACACACACAGACCCTTGGGCTGCGGGGGTGCACCCTGCCGACGTACACTGCACCGCAAGGCCGTCACGAAATCGGACGCGGGCCGATGCGGCCAGGGATGGACTGTCTCACGCCCTCCTCCTTGGTCAGCTCATGGTCCTGAAGCTGGACAAGTCAACTGCAACAAGCAGGGCAGAGTAAGACCGACCCGATGCATTCAGGATGCGGCGCGCGACCGGTATGTCCGAAGCCGCGCAATGGACAACAGCTTCAAATACTTTCTTAGGGTCGGCCGCCTCAAACTTGGACGCGAGGTCCGCGAAGAGAATAAGCGGGCTCCCCCAATCTTGGGGTCTGAGCACAAAATCCTCAATTTTGGACTGCTTCTTTTCAACTACCTGCCACCCGTCATCCGCTTTGGCCACACCGGAAGGTGCGGTTTTCCTTTGCCTTGGCCCTTACCCTGCCCCTTACCTTTGCCTTTGCCCTTGTCCTTGTCGGTTGCCGGGGCAGGCGCGGTACTCGGCGATGGGGCCTGGCTGCTGGTCCCTCCACCGCCCCCTTTTTTGGCGGCAGCCTTCTTGACCTTGCGCTTGCGCCTCTTGTTTGCCTTGGCATTGCCGGCTGGAAGGCCAGCCTGCCCAAGCGACTGTCGAACGGCCTGTGCTACGAGCTTCTGGATCGCACCTTTGATTTGTTCAAGGAGCCCGGTGCCCAGGAGGGCTTCAGGGCCTTGGCGCTCAGGCCCTGGATGGGCCGCTTCCCCAACACGAATCCCGGCACACGGCCCCCCGTTCCACAGAGCGCTGCATCGCTCAACACAAATGTGGAAGCATGCAGAAAAGCAGCTGGAGTCATGTGCCCGGCCACGCGGGCCCTCAATTGTCCAACGGAACTGAAGGCGGAACCTCTGCACACACAGGACTGTTGGTTTTGCTGGCCAGGAGCGGCTGTTCCTGGACAGCCATTGTAGCCAGTCCCTGACACCTGCACTGTCCAAATGGCACGCTGCACCCTCACCACTATCAGCCTCGACCTTGCACCTCAAGCTCCTGGACACCTGCCTTACCTGAGTAGCCAAAGCTCACAACTTGACAAAGCCCATTCAGCCCTACACCCTTCCAAGTCTGCACCTGGGCTCCTGCACCAACGCCCAAGCTTGACAAGCGGAACTGCAGCTGAACTGACCATGACCCTGGCAAGCATTGACACATTCCAATCGGCCCTGCAACCTGGCAAACCTGCACCTGGGGCTCCAGCGCCGAAACCCAAGCTTGACAATTGGACCTGCAGTTGGACGACACTTGTTCAGAGGCCAAAGGCGCCTGTAACCTTGCGACCTGAGACCTGAGGGCACTGCTGGCCAGAAGCTTTTGCCCCTGGACGTGGCCCTAGGCGCCTACCTGTCCTGAACCTTCACTGTCAGGTGTTATAAACCGTATTAAGAGCAAACCCAACCCAGGATTTGCGGGTTGAGTTTGGTTAAAGAGCAAACCCAACTCAGGATTCGCGGGTTGAGTTTGGTTTTGAGAAAGTTTTGGGGGCCGGGCCTTCGGGAAAAACTTGGCCTGGACCTCGAGCACCTGAAAACCTGAAACCTCGGGCATGCTAGCACTGCCGGCCAGGAGCTGCTGCCCCTGGACATGGTCATGACAACCTGTGGTGGCCACAGCGGCAGCGTGAAACCTGACTCATGACAGCCTGCGCGCCTACCTGACCTGGGTCAAAGTAACCTTGCCCTAGACACAACTCAGTCGGCACTCCGTTCTTGCACTGCTGCACCTTGGGCCTCTTCGCCTGGTCCCGGCAACTGCTTGCATCAACCTCAAAACGTGCCTCGTTCTTGCTGACCTGACCTGTGCAAACCTGGGCGCCTACCTGTCCTGCATTTTCACAGGCCTGGACTGCGGGCACCTGAAAACCTGAAACCTCGGGCATGCTGGCACTGCCGGCCAGGAGCTGCTGCCCCTGGACATGGTCATGACAACCTGTGGTGGCCACAGTGGCAGTGTGGCAAACCTGTGACTCATGACAGCCTGCGCGCCTACCTGACCTGGGTCAAAGTAACCTTGCCCTAGACACAACTCAGTCGGCACTCCGATCTTGCACTGCTGCACCTTGGGCCTCATTCGCCTGGCCCTGGCAACTGCTTGCATCAACCTCAACACGTGCCTCGTCCTTGCTGACCTGACCTGTGCAAACCTGGGCGCCTACCTGTCCTGCATTTTCACAGGCCTGGACTGCGGGCACCTGAAAGCCTGAAACCTCGGGCATGCTGGCATTGAGGAGCTGCTGACTAATGAACGCCTGGGCCTACCTGACCTGGGCCTTGCACCTGGCACAAGCTCTGGATCACAGCCCCTACTGGCCAAGGGCGGCGGCCCCTGGGCGTGGGCCGTGATCTTGCAAACCTGGACCGAAGGCTGACACCCTGCGGCGGCATCAACCTTGCAAGCCTGAGCCTTGGGCACCTGGGCGCCTACCTGACCTAACACAGCAAGGCAGGAACCTTCCTCAACTCCAGCCCGGCACGAAGAGCTGAGGCTTCTCACTTCAAAGGCTTTGTTGCAGCAATTCCTGCCCGCAACTGCTTGGCCACTTTCACTCGACCACTTGTCCTCGAGGAAGTCGTCGTGGTCCTGCATCTTCAGGAAGTAGGCCGCCCCCTCACCATTGAAGCGGTGGATCGGGTTTTCCAGAAGTCCTCGTGGTACTGGGAGTCCTCCTCATAGGCCGCCCCAGCGCCATCGGCAGCGTCGCCCTCGGCAGCGCTTGGGAAACTCTCTGACCCATCCTTCGAAGCAGCAGCACCACTGTCACTTCCGACTTCTCGATGCTTCTGTTCCACCTTTGCAGCCATATCGTCGGCTGCTGGCGCACACTTGGAGACTCCATGCAAGCAAAAAGCCCAGGAGCATCGCCAAGCATGCCATTCAACCTTGACAACCACATCAAGGTACTCTTGGCTCTGGGAGTAGAGCCTGCGCGCCACGGCTGAGACTAGCCGTCCTCTCAAAGAAGAGCACTGTCGAAGCTTCCCACCATCTCCCACACCAATTGCTCATCACCAGCATCCCAAAAGCCAACGACGAAAGCTTGGTGCTTCGACCAGCTGGGTGGCTGAGGACCACCAAGTCGATCTTCAGTCTCGAACTCCATGCGCGGCGCAGCGCTCCCCCCCGATGAAGGGGCCATGTCCATCCACACGAGGTACACTCAGCAACTAGAATCCCCAGTCTAGCTCCCGCAATGGACCACTTGGAGGTGGTACCCTTTGAGCCAAAGCTTTATGCCAGGAGCGCACATTGGATGCATAGAATTGGCACACAGTGCGCTGATGCTGAAGACTCCAGTAAGCACGATGGACAGGCAGCAGTGTGTCTTTGACGGTCCCAGCACTCTCCATTTCATGTCGCACGCTTCACGCCCATTCAACAAATCTGCCGGCGAGGACCCACCTGACCTAGTCTTGTCTTCAAGGATGCACCGGCATGGCAACACTTTCCTCCACATCACTGGACCGGACTGCAACACCTTCAGGAATTTGGAGAAAGTACAGATCCTTGCTAGCGTGGACTCGTTCAGCCTTGCAGAATCTTTCTGAAGCGGCCGCGAACGACTAAGTCAAAAACTGCTCCGCTAGGTGAAGAACACAAAACCCATCCAAGCCTTGAACAACCGAATTAAATACTGGACTCCAAGTGCCTGAACCAAGCCCCCTAGCCCAGGACTGCACACCCAACCTTCAGGTCCGCTAAAACATTAAACATTATGGCACGGTACTCGTCCACCGTGCCGCAGCAGAATCTCGTCTCTTTTTCGCGGCAAGGCGTCCTGCTCAGGGGATTCTTAGGGGTAAATTGCTGAGGGCTCAGGTGAGAAGTTAGTGTGGGTCTAGGACCCGTCTAGGATTGCAATTTTGGGGGTTCAAGGTGCCTGCATATGTCTCAGGATTTGGGGCCAGGATCGTCGTAAAGGGTTCGCTGTGAATGTGTGGGGCTTGGCCATATTGTGATCATTTCGGGGAATCCTTCGGGACCTAGCTTGCTTCTGAAAAAACAAACGAACCTTCACTTTGCCGCATAGAGCCATGATCCGAGCTCTTTCCTGCGGGATGTAGGCCTTCCCTTCAGGCAGGGTCCACGCTGAGCTTTATGTGAGGGATGGCCAGCACGTCCTAGTTCTGAAGCCTGAACAGGTGCTTCCCATGACGTAAATCCTCAAAAGAAAACTCTTTGCCCTGGACCCGGGTTACAGGCCTCTTTGCATGAATACATGGACGAATATCGGCACCATATTCAGGGAGCGCCATTGAAGGGTCCTTCAGAGCCCAGGAGCCCGAAAATCTAGGCGCCTCTCTCGCAAGCCAGAACCCCCAGCCCTGATCCTGGAATCTGACCACTGTAGCCTCGACCCTGTGCGGATCAAACCCCATAATTGCCGCAGATCCGGTCTAATCCTCTAAATAATCATAACCCGAAGCTAGATCAAGAACCAAAAGGTTACCCCTTCTGTGCACTGCACTGGGCGCACGAGTTCAGGTAGGTGTTGAAGCAGAGGCAATTGAAAGTGACCCCTGTCCCAGGGCTGGACTGACCAATCAGAGGCGGTTTAGCGAACTTCAAGTCCGCAATCTATTACGCAAATCCTCGAAAATGCTCCTTCGGGACATGCGGATAATGATAAGATGAGCCTTTCGATACACAGATCCTTCCTAAGACTTTGTGCTGATACCATACACCCAACTTGTGCCCGAAGCTTCAGAACTTCGGGCTGCTTGGTCCCTGTTTTGGTTTGAGGTGAAAGTTTCCGACCGACTGGGGATTTTACCGAGGCGACTGAGTACGGGGTCGCAGTTAAAATCCGTGGGGTCCATGGGGGAGTGGGGGGCCTTGCCTCATCATGGTGTTGCTGGAGGCCTATCCGGTGAGCCATCCCGCTTCAAGAACTTCCAAAGTTGAGAGTTTTGGGTAGTGAGGGCTCTACCGGTCATAGGGTACAGGCTTGCTGAAAAGTCAAAGTCCACCCAAACTGCAACTCTTTGCCCTAAGCCTGAAAAATGTACCGTTAAGGCTTAAGGAGATCCCCAAGAATAGCGGCTACCTGGTGCAGCTCGACGGTGACGGCAGCCTGCCCCGACGCAGCAGCACCACCAGCACCACCTCTATGGACACAGAGTTTAGGGTTCAAGGCTCGACCTTTTGACCAGTCAAGATAAGGGTTCAGAACTAATGCTTTTTATCGGACCTCTTCTCCTGAGGCCGAAACCCCGAAGATGCCTGGCAGGCATGGTCCCAAAAGACACTCCTCCTCAATGCCGGGGCCGCTGCTTTGAAGTACACAGCAAGAAACCCCCTCCGAATGTTAAGGTTCAGGGCTCCAGGTTTTCAATCCAAGGCTCGGGATGTCCTACCTTTTTGCGAATGGGGTTTATGCAACGCTTGCTACGGGGTAACTCATAATATGGGAACAAGTCGTTTGAACTCATTCCCTCGTTCCATACCAACAAGAGACCGTGCGTGATGGATGCGCAAGGCTGACGGTACAAATTATCGAGAAACGGGGCTGTGAGGTCTGCTGAAGTCATGGTATACTAGAAGTCTACGAGAACCCAAAGGCAATATCAAATGCAACTAGCAAGGTTACTTTAGAAGATTCGGGCTTTGGGGTTCGGATTCTGAAAAGAACAAGCGGGGGCTCGTTTAAGGTCATGGGCTGCGGGAGTTCGGGCCGCTCGGGGCTTCGGATGAAAGATTCACTTTTTTCTTGAGTATTCTGCTGATGTTTTTTATGATCACTACTGATCGTTTAGAAGTCATCTAATCCGTAGACGTTGTTGATGCCGTTGCAATTATAGGAGTGCGAATAATACACAGTAAGGGTATGTCTCAAAAGCACGGTTGTCTCATGTAGGCCCAGCAAATCAGAATCCTACCTCTTCTAAACCCCTCACAAGGATATACCGCTCGGACACACCAGGACTCATCTGAGGCTCCCACCAGAGCTTCTCTAACATCTCATCCGGATCCATGCGTGGCCCGGTGGCATAGCAAAAGGCCTGGCCAACTTAGGCATGTTTTTGTGTCAAGGCTCCCGTATTATTATTATTAGTCTTATTACTGTTATTTCGACTGTTATTACCAAGATTGCTATTATTCACATCGTTACTATTATTGCTAAGCAAAGAGGAAAAGTAGTCTGGCTGGAAGATGCTGGAAGCCGCCCTCAAGTGAGGGCTTTCACTTGTGGAGCCCCTTGTGGAACTGGCTTTCCCAACAATATGAATATTAACAATATTAATAACAAAAACAAGAATAAGAAAATAACAAGAATAAGAATAGGAATACTAACAATAATAACTACCCAGGCTTTCCACCCTCTACCATTGACTGCTGTTCTTCGCGGAGCTGTCCCATCTAGATAAAAAGCACACCTTCGGACAAAAGGTCAGTCCAAAGTGCTCATCGCAGGTAGATTCCTGAACCTGAAATTGACAAATCCCGGCCCTAAACCGCAGGAGTTCCCGAGCCAAAGCCCCAAAAACCCGAAGCTATAAAGGCACGACACCAAACCGTAAAAACCCAAACCCTTTTCCATGAACTGCGCCTCATGCGCTTGTGGCATCTCCTTTTGAGGCCCTGAGAGACCTCACTGAAAAGGCCAGGGCTTTAGGGGTTAAGGCTCACGTAATCTGAGTTTCTTTGATCAGGGCATATCCCATACAAAGTGATAGATCCTGGATACAACCTACAAGAAGGGACTGCCACCTTGAGATGCAGATTGAGATTCTATTTGAAGCCTGGAAGAGCACTCCAACTTTCCCGGGTGGGCTTTAGGTATGGGAATCAGGCTTGCCGGGTATCAAGTGTTTCTGCCTCTGGGGTTACTTGTCGGAGCGTGCGTCCGTCAAGGTAAGGTATGAATGCAGTGCAGGATTGCACTTCTCCAAGCTGAGGTGTACCTTCGAGGGTGAGGACACGAGGAAGCGAAACTGCAAGAAGAGAACAATTGCAAAAATCGCTGACTTTTAACCATTGCCTGCATGGGATTAAAACTATCGAGCCTTGAGCGTGCCGGCCTGCTCCAAGGGTTCAGACCAAAGAAGCCACACCAAAGAAGTCAGCAAAATCTGATGGAGGCGCGCGCGCGCGTTTCCGTCAAGTCTTCAGGCCTGAAACCTTCAGAGGCAAAAGTCTCAACACCTACCCGATAAATCTATTAACATGCAGGCCTGAATTCTGACGTGATCCCTACATGGTCAACCACAGACTCCCAAGCCCGACAAGCCCGCCATCTAGCAACCTCAAATCAACAAAACAAACCTTGAAACCACCCAACTCAGCACTGATCTTATTGTAGAGGCCGCAGGAGATACCCAATATGAATTGGGGTCCTGCAAGAAGAGTGCGGAAACTAGTTTGGGCTTTACCCGGCAGCCCAAATCCCTCGTCTCAACACAGCCACCTGCTTCCACAAAGAAGTGGGGCATGGGGTCACCCCATACTCATTCGCAAAAGGTCCTTTGCTTTAGACACATTGGGCGCACATCATGCCTTGTCTCTTAGATCTCAAATTACAGTCACTTGCCAAGCCCACTCGTCCAAGCTTGACCCAAGAAGATTGACTCAAGAAGAGGAGGAAAAGGAAAGCGAACAAGCAGCATCACCTACCTGCCCTCAAGCGATGCCTACACGTGAGGCCGACTTGAGTTGGAGCTTGCTGGTGGTCGCACCAAGCAAGTTCAAGTCCGTCTTCAACAATACTTTACCCCAAAGATCATTTTTCTCTTTTCCGGTTGCTATAATATACCTAATTTAATTTTTTGGTCACTTGACCCTCAAGTTCCAAAACTTGACAGAAACTGAACCAGTACTTACTAGGAAATCCACGTACGTAATTTGGTGGTGTCTTGCCTTCGCCTACTCCAGGGTTCTTACGGATGCTTCAAATCCAACACCAGATGCAAGACAATCCCTGTGGGCGCCTGGATAGTGCTCAGTCCACGTCGGCTCCTTTTCGCTGATGGCGCGGCTGGCAACTCCTCGCGGCAAATCGAGGCATGCTCCCTGCTACTTGTAGGGAATGTTTGTCAGCAGTGCACTGCAGTTCGGCCTCAGTTGCCAAGGGGGGCTGGGGCAGCCAACATCATGAGCAGCATCAGATACAGTAGGCCAGCCAGCATCATAAGCATCAGCTGTATTTATGTCTAGCTGGCGCGGCGGGGGCGACCAGCATCATGAGCCTCAGCTGCATTTGCCTTCAAAAGGCAAGGTCGGGGCGGCATCATCAGAATCAGCTGCACCCAGCGTGTGCAGGCACATGACATACCCTTATTCACAAGCAGGACCTATGCAAACAAAAACCTGGTCAAGCCTCGAGATTTGCAAGTTGTGCGTCCGAGCAGTAGGGCTTAGATCCAGACATTGCAACATAGAACTCATGCGACAAAACCCCTCAACTTGACCAGTTGAAAGCAAACCAGAAAAGCCTGCCGAGCCCAAAGACAAGGTTGATCATAAACTTCAAGAGACCTGAAAAATTAAACTCATACAGCAGTTTTTGCAAGCCGTCATAGCCCGAAAGACTCTAAACCGCTAACCTCTAAACCGCTAACCTATTCTCATCTGGGAAGACACTGTTTGTTTCTTTCACGCGGATACAGTGGTGGGGCAGGCTACTGTTAAAGCTAAAGGATAGTCAGCTTAGTGAAAAAAACATCGATAGCTCAAAACTAGGTAGCGTTCTAGAGACCCTCCTTTACCCAAACAGAAGAGAGTCCTTCAAGGACCCCATACCAGATCATCTAACTTTGGGAAGGGCCTGAGATTAAAGATTCCACGCAGGACCTGAGGATTCATGTGTTTGCGCTTTGCTAGGTTGAGGTTTGCAATCTTGGGTTGATCAGTGCTTGGAGGTACTCCATCCTTTCTGCCCAGGTTCTAGAGCAAACATGCAAACCTGAAATCTTAACCTTGACCCGGAAACCCTCTATGGGCGCTTGCTCAAACCCGGTTTCCTTGCTGACCTGCCGAGTCGACCATGCGTTGCTGGGGTGGCTTCCTCAACAATCAACATACTTGCAAGTTCCGAGAAAGCTTGCAGTGCTTCATCTGTGAACTTTCATGCCAGGATTCCACCGCTAGTATGTAAAAGCTGCATGCAGTTGACGCAAGGATTGCTGAAAACGTACAAGGAGCAGGAGTTTGGGCGAGGAAGGTCGGGGCTTTGGAGTTGGGAGGCTCTACAGACGAGGTCATCAAGCATGACGCAGTTGAGGGCTTTGCCGAATTTGGTGACGGCAGAGCTGGGAAGCTTCCCTGCTTAAGCAAGCACCTCATCTCAAGAACTTTCAAGTTCCGGGCGTTCAGCTGGTTCCACTGCGTCCGTTTGAAAAAGACGAGGTATGATCTGCACTAACAAACCGGTTTGGGCCATCTAGCTTTCGAGCATGCTGCAGCGATTGGCTCTGAACCTCGAGCTCTCCATCCACAATCCAAAGCCCGAGACGGTCAAGCTTACATCCAAACCTCTCTGAACTTGCACATGGAAAGCTCACGCTGAGGCTGGCGAAATGAAAGCAGTAGAGTCTTTGCACTGGGGCCTAGTCGGGAATCACCTCAATCCACTTGCAACGAGCTTGCATTCCAACACTCTATTCCTGACAAGGGCATCACACAGGATCTGAAGCAAGTGTGAAGGTCTTCGGCCTTGCAAGAAAATTATGCTAGGGCCACGGCGTAAATCATGCTACTGAAAAACCTTGGTGGTGTAGGGAGTTTCTAAGCCCTCCACTGCTCGTCAGCAATTGCCTCCCAGTACCTCACTTTGCAGGGGCTTCTGATAAAGGGATGTCGTCTCGAAATCTGAAACATTTGCGATCATCTTCGATCATTGTTTCGACCATAACGATGAAAAGCTGTGGACGCTCAGAGTTCTTGGAGTTAGGTTTACAGCTTTGGGCGCATGATAGCAGGAGAACGCGGGACGCTTGCGATTTTGGTGTGCAGGGCTTTGCAATCTCTTGCCCGAAAACATGCGGCAACTCGATAATGCCGGACAAAAATGAGAACACTCTCAAGTGCTGTCCGTCTCCTTTGTGTTTGCACTACCATTCTTATCGATGTTTATTCTGCGTGTAGTCACTATGCCATTCCGGCCCGTTAAAGCGCTAGTCTTTACACAATCCCTTCCCAGAACCACATCCCCTAACTTTTCCTGCAATCGTGCGTGGATATTCCCTGCAATCGGACGGCTAAAATGCACTCTGCCCAACCCAGACCCTTCGCTCATCTCAAAGCCCAACCGCAAGTCCTGTCGACTCTCTCTCGAAACTCAGGCTCTTGTTAGGCACATGAGCCATGTACCATGCAACAACCTGCTTGAATTCGAGGCCCCGTAAGCAAAAACGGCAAATCTATGCAACTGGTCTTCTCCATCCCAAACCCTCAAACTGACATCGCTAAACTCAAAGACCTCAGAGTCTCTAGTCAATGTGGTTTACTGGGCTTCGGACAGACCTTGTTGGAGCGCGAAAGTCAAAGATCAAACTTTGCGGCTTTGTGAATCTAAAGTGCTTGAACTCTTGTCGACAGACAACTCATAATTCAGTGTTGATCAAGATCAAGCACATAGAACTTGCTTGCGCGCAGGAAAGACTGACCCTATCTTCCTACCTTACAGTAGACCCTCAATTCATAACGGTGCTCCCATGATCAAGTCTCTATATCATGGATCCGAGCACAAGCAACAAGTCCGTGCCCTCTTTGTTGAATGTATACACAGGAGATATGCCGAATTGCGGGTTGGGTTCTATGACCCTCCAAATACTCCCCTATACCTTCCACCTAAAGCCCCAAAATCCTGATCTCAAAACCTTAAGGCTCAACTCCTAGATCACCCCTTACAAAACCCTAGAACCTAATAAAGTACAGCTGAGTCGCTCTGGAACAGCACCACTTGGCAGGCTTGGCTCAGGGCGAATGTCGCACCAGTTCTCAAGCCTGGGAAGAACAAAGGGTGGGTACAACTGAT